TAAGCAGGGGATTTTGAGTAATATTGTTAACTTTAGAAGCTACATTCGTAAATGAAGATACATGAAGTTGTATGAACGGTCATTCCACGGTATTTAAAAGTCACACAATTTGAAACTTTTTAAAACCTATTTATATCCTTCCTTCGAGTATAAAATTTGATGGCGTAATTGTCTACCGAATGAGCAAGAGAATAAATATTCTTGTGCATGCTTTCATGAAATATAATTAAATGTTTAAGAATTTCGAAAATCTATGAGAAAAATGCATGCCACATATGTAATCATTTTTAACAGATTGTAGTTTTTGCATGCAGCAGGAAAGAAGTTCGTTCGAAAGTCGGCATCTGGAGGTGACTGAAATATTATAGACTTATGTTGCAGGCTGACAAGTTTTACAACCGTACGTAATTAATCTTTTGGAAACGAAAATGCACTTTGGAATTTCAGTTTACATTTCATGCGTTAGCCCACCTCATGTACATGCACTTGGGAAGAGATGGCCTCATCATTATCGAGCATGACTTCATTTGCCTTGTCTAATTTCCGAGGAAATTAACGCGCGAACTTGGAGTAAATCTTTCGAAACGGGCCTTTTCAGGCGCGCTCCGACGTCTGTAATGAATATCTCTGCTGAAATCCATCAGCTACCGCTTAATATTCACAAACCGGCAACAGGCAGCCAGTAGTATGGATCTGTGCAATGAGGTACCGTACTAATAACACAAATATTTGCTAAAAGCCCAGACACGCGTGTTTTGTCGATCTTATGCCGCTGCCTGACGCAGCTGCGAGGGGTTAAGCTCATCAGTGGGTCCCCCAGCTTCCCCCGTCTGGCATATGAACTCCAGTTTCAATCTGCCTGATTTAATTTCCGAGGAAATTAAAGTGCGAACTTGGAGTAAATCTTGCGGAAAAGACCTCTTCAGGCACTGTCCGAAATTTAATATGAAAAGGTCTGTTCCGCAAGATTTACTCCAAGTTCGCGCATTAAATTACTCGGAAATTAAACCAGGCAGTAATGGCTGTCTGTTGGCGGTTTGTGAATATTAAGCGGTTATTCCGCAACAGCTGATAGATTTCAACTCAAATATTCATAACAGAATTTGGAGCGTGCCTGAAAAGGCCCGTTTCGAAAGATTTACTCCAAGTTCGCGCATTAATCACCTCGTTAATTAAACAAGACAAGTTGAAACTGGAGTTCATATACCAGCAAACACACGGGAAAGCTGGGGGACCCACTGACGAGCCGAACCCCTCGCAGCTGCGTCAGGCAGCGGCATAAGATCGGCGAAACACGCGTGTCTGGACTTTTAGCAAATATCTGTTTTGTTAGTACGGTAAATCATTGCACAGATTACTTTATTTGTTAAAAGAGCAAATTTCGGATTTGAGGGCATCTACGGCTTTCACCCTTTCGCCAAGCTTTCAGCTCAAACTGACAAATTTTCAGTCCGTCTTCTGCACTGAAAACTCCTGAACACACATCGGCGATATCCGTTTTTCGGACTCCAGCCACTTATGTGTTAATACGTGGCACATGGAAACACGATTTCCACTTCGTCCTGCACCGTGCCTGCATCCATCTCCAGATGTCTGGAGGTTGGTTTGCACATGAATATTGTGTGCTCTCGATCACCAACTTACAGAGAGTCAGCAAAACTGGGCGGTTCTTGCTCTCGCTCTTTTTCTGAACTTAGGACGCAATTATTGCAAGACATTTTTGTTCTCTGCCGTTTCGAGGTGGCAAAGAAAATTTAAGCATCCACTATCATTATCGTTTCCTTGTTCAGGTTCTTTGTCCTGAAACCTCGAAATTGGTCAGTGTCAGTCTATATCCGCAGTGATATTGCAAGTCGCTCCGCTAGTTGAGGTCGTGGAAACCTCTAAAGGCATTTCCGTTTGAGGATTAGGGAGCGCTTCCTAGGCCTATCTCGACGCCTTACCAGACGAGTGGGTGACTTCATATCATCTGGCCACAGGACCAGTGTCTCCTGCGCTTAGTTACTTTTATGGCGCATGTATTCTGACAGGAAAGCAGCGTGAAATTCAGGGAGTAGGAGTGCCATACATTTCAGATGGGGACTGGGCGGTTGTTTCTGGCCTACTCGATCTCGTCAGAGTCAACACTTTATTATACCACTGTATACAGAGGAACTAAACTGCAGATCCAAAGCAGAGAGTGAAGGGCTTGATCCGTATTGTGACATGCCAATGAACGTTCCTGCCATGTCTATACTCATGAGTCCTTTCTTAATGAATGAATCCTTCCTTTTACCTCTGACTATCTTATCCGTCCTCTGTTCCTTATTTCAAAAATATTGCTCCCTGAAGGGTCAAGTTGGGTAGTGATCCAGTGAGGACGTCTGGGAGGATTTAGCATCACGGATTCCAACCTTGATTTAATATTTTCCGGGGTCAAGGGTGTGCGGGTCAGGTAGTAGAGCGACTTTCTCGTTGCAAGTCTGTTGCATTTGATCGTTTTTTCCCAGATGTTCGAAGTTGCCACATAAAGGGCTTACTGGACCGATGCCCCAGCATATCGGATGATCGTTATCCCGTCCGAAACTATCAATGGAATTCTTAGTACTGTTTTCATAACTGTAGCTGTTGGATTCGGCCCGGATCTGTTGAAATTTCGGGTGTTTTTAAAAAATCTTGTCCTATAGCCGGGTTTTCTATTCGTACTTAAGGTCAAAGATATCATAAACTCTGCTCTTTATAAACTGCGCAAAAAACAGTGATACCAAGACAAGGTTAGTCCATTTTGAACTTTCTTCTCATTACAGAACTTTGGGAAATAAGCTCATTTTGGAGCTGCGTTTGAAACGGATATAATTACAGGGCCGACTGTAGTGAGTTTTGGTCTACGCATGCACGCTCATTCATGTCGATTTGACTACTAAATATCCCACTAACGATATCCCGTTAGGAAACAATAGATCAGCTTACTAAACCTCGTGGTAAATGCGTAGCCTAATAGATGTGTTGGGACCTTCGGTCGATGATGGAATTCGAAGAGATTATAGTCCCATGCCCAGCCTATATGTGGCATAATAAACTTTTTTTGAAACAACGAAACACGACAAGGAGGAGAGGCCGCAGTTCAGATATGTGAACATGACGAAATTCCGTGCTTAATGTTGTTGGCGACTTTTTGGCTACGAACCATTCACTCATGGCAGAATACGGTAAATTTCATCGCCGTAACTGCTCGCCCTTGTTCTGCTGAGAGGGGCATTAGAGGCTGGTTGCCGAAATGATGTTGTCCCCTCCGGTACGGAGAGTTCTCATTGTTAGCCAGTTCATCCTTCGTGTAACACCTGCCTCGGCCTTGGCGGTTCCGTCGTCTGAGGTGTGCCCGTAGGGTCTGGTACACCGCGAGGACTGCCACGCGCGATTTACGGACGTCGTACCCCTAAGCCAGGCGTCCAGTATCTCCCTGACTTTGCCTTCATTCAGATGATCCTTGACTTCAGTTGTTTCAAAGGCCAAGGTGCAGCCAGGCTTGGTACAATCACTCGCAACGAAAGCCAATCACTATGAATGAGTGCAGATGGTCTCTGACCAGCAGTTAATCGGCGCGATCGACAGTACCACCACTCTTTTTGGCGAGCGATACTACTGGCGGGCATCTATTGACCAAGATCTAAGTTCGAAATGGAAATTTAAGGATAATAAATGAACATTAAATCAAATGACTCGTAAGAAAGACGAAACGGAAATCCTTGCGTGAACCGCGAACTGCTCGTGTCATGGTTTTTTGCTCCTCAGTCAGTCAACGGACGTAACGACTTCCCCTCTGCATATTCCTCGCTGAGACTTTACCTCAACAGCGTGCGGATTACCACTGTTCTTGGTGTCAATGTTGGCAAACTAGATTGCCCAATAGTCCGCATAGATGACGAAATCCTGCAGTCAGCAACTCGAATGTGTGTAATGAGCGTGGGAGCCAATAATCTTGACCGGCACATAGGCGCGTAGCAACTGCATACTTCAACACCTGGCCAGTCGAGCCGTGATGCATCGGGAGTTGCCAACAGTGATAGGCATGTAGCGGCCTAGCAACTGCATCCTATAAATACTGCAACACACGGGCAACTTACCACCCTAATCTGACTCTGTCTCTCATGATGGATTCGAGTGGGAATCCGAAATGTCAGGATTACAGTGCTCTTGCTTCAGCGATCATGTCTCCTCCTTCACGACTACTTCCTGGGACTCACATCTTCGCTTCTGTTAGCTAATTTAAATCTCCTGACTATTAAAACAATGACTGCAACACTCTGTCTTCCCCCCTCTGTATTGCTGCAGCTTCAAGGTAACATAGTAGATGCGCCCTATTTACGTGATATAAACGGCAACCTTTGATTTATGGTGCCACTCTCCACTATATGTCCTGTCTCAGAACTTCCCTATACCTAATTTTCTGCACTCAGCATACACTTAGGTAGGTGTTCGACCGGTCGCACTAAAAATATCATTGAAGTCTCACTGCCCTCACGGTCCGGAGATCTCAGCTGGCCCCCTCTGTTTACTTTCATCGGCTTTGTCCGCACCAGAAGACAGCTGGATAAATAATCTTATTATGTTTGAAAACCCTATATTGTGTTTACGCCAAAGGCGTTGTTTTACAACTAGCAAGGAGAATACACATAAAAATGCCCTCCTGATTTCTGCCAGGCGAAAGTGCCTATTTACCCTCTTGGAAAACAACTTAACAGTTTGCTCATTCCTCTGAACTTTAACAGAGAGATCAAAGAGCTTTTACCTGGAATTCCAACATTTCAGGACTTACACGTGCTAACAGTCACAAGATAGAGGGTTAAATCGCAAGATACGCCAGCCGTTTGCACAAAACATGCGCAGCAACCGGATTGGTGTTTGCAATTCCACTTAGACGTTTCTCACTATTTAGCACAATAGGAGCGGCGTTCACGGGACAGACGTTTTGATTTAAATACTCTGCTCAACTCGCCGAGCGCTGAGTTTATATCCTGAAAATGGCGAAAGAAAAGGCACCAAAGGACAAGGGCAAGAAGGACAAGAAGGACAAGGATAAGAAGGGGAAGGAAACAAGTGGTAAGAAGGAGGAAAAGGCGAAGGAGTTCGCGATTCGCTTGGTTGGAGACAAAGATGTAATCAGCAAAATTCAAGAACTGGTATGTGTCATGTCTATCCACCTCAAGGCAGCCCTCTGTATGTTAGCAATCTCGCGAAGCCATGCAGTTTGAAAGCACCAAGTTTAACGTAATGAGCGCCATGGACTCGAACGGTGCAGTTCAGGAGGTTGATGATGATATCTGCCTCTTCTGTTATGATATTAGAAAACCAAAGAGTCTGGAGCTGCTGAAAACTAAGGTATGTGGAAAGAGGCTCTTCTCTTACCGCCTTACCTTTTATTACCTCTAGCTCTTTGACGAGGCAAAGGACAAAATGGGTAAAAAGTCCAAGTATATGGTCGCTGCCATTGGTGCTGAATATCGTTCAGCAGCCAACGAGAAGAATTTGGTACCTGCCAAAGCGCTCTCCGATTTCGTCTCAGAAAAGAATACCTGTGGAATGGAGATCTTTTCCTCGGATTCTGTGAGTTGTTACACTTACCCCTCAGATTTCCAAACTTATTGCATTACTTCTAAGTTCTCATCAGATCGTCAACTTTTACTGTTCTCTTGTAATACTTTTGATGCTTATTCAGAGTGCAGACACCAGTCCGAATGCTGAGTCAGGAATGTTGCAAAAGACCTTCGCGTTCAGGTTCAGCTAGAAGTTTCACGTTAAGACGTTTAGCCGAGAAAAGCCTTTGCAGTCTTTACGGCATTAACTGCAGAGGATTTCTAAGAGAGACGTGTAAGGACACAGTGGAAAATTTCCCGACCAGTTTTCGCGCTGGCAAGTTTCCCTCCTACATAAACATCGATAGGATTAGAACTGGAGGCCGTATTCTAGATGGGATACGTTGAGACAATCTTCTCAAGTACAGATTTCATAGGAAGTTAACACTGATTTAATAGTTTACACGAATCTACTTTCATATGCAGCATAGGAGTTTGGCATACCATCAACTTGAAGCATTTTTTCCGGGGTACGAGGCTGAAGCAAGTGTGCAAGGCGGGATTTATTGATACCAGCAAATTGCGCGACACTTCATCAGCTGCGCCCTGTCGCTTCCTAACATAAATAGTAAGTAGAAAGAATACAGCAGTTTGAATAATTGCAGAAAATCAATGCAGAAACAGCAAGGGTTTGGATAGTGCCTGCATTGAAGTTACTAATTTTATTGCCTGGCTGGCATTACCTAGAACCATCAGCTTGCTGTTTCTGCAGTGATTTTCTGCCCGAATTCAGACAGCTGTATTCTTCCCACTCGTTATTTATGTTAAGAAACAGCAGGAGGCAGCTGATGAGTCGTCGAGAACTTTTTCGGTACCGACAAATCCTACCTTGCACGCCTGCTTCAGCTTTGAAACCATCGACTGTTAACGAAAGAGGTTGAAACATGTTAATTTCTAGGGTATTTCAGGCACCCCCTTATACTAAAGTATCGTCAGAATGGACTTTTTCTCGACACATGAGGGCAGCATTACAAAATTTAAGAAACTGAACTGAGCCAGTAGCAATCAAGTCATATATCTATTTCCAGGACACGTTATTTTTAACCTTGACCCATGAACTTACTGGGGTAATTTTAATGAGTGCGCCATCGAGTAACACTGGCGGGATTACTTAGTGGAGCTGGGGGTCAATTACGCAATCCGGGTTCCGAGTGTAAGCCCAGTGTTGGCATTGTAAGTAAAAAAAGGCCGGAGAATGCCGAAATCATTAGTGGAAAAGTAGCCAAAGCTAAAACGGAAAAGGGCAATCCGATGTGCTAGTTTAGAGGTAGGGTTGGTTTTAGGGTTCGGGATAGTGTCAGGCTGAGAGTTAAGTTTGGGGTCAGGGTTTGTAGTAAGTTTAAGGATTGCGGTTTAGGTTTACGTTTAGTGTTAAGGTTGGGGGTAGGGTTAGGGTTTGGGTCAGGGGTAAGGTTGGCCTTAGGGTTAGGACAAGGGTTTGTGGTAGGTTTGGGGCTACGTTTAGTGTTAAATAGGGTTAGCGTTAGGTTTATAATTACGTCCAGGATTAGGTTCACTTTCGAGGTTACGTTTAGGTTTATCGTTAGGTTTGGGGCATTGCTGCCCCGCGTGTCATATCAACCAAGGTCATTTTGCGGAGATTCTATACTTCCTTCAATCTTGCGGCAAATTTGTCATACATCAGGTCGCCTTATCCGTTTCCGTTTCGGCTACTTTCCTCTCTAACGATTTCAGCATCCACCTTCGACTTAATTTACTTTTAATGTCCACATTGCCTTTACACTTGGGACCAGGATAGCGTAATTGATCCTTGCAATGAAAGATTTATATGACTGTTATGAGTTCTAGTAAAACACATTTTGTTTGTGCTGGCTGAAGCTAATGAAGTATCTTAGTAATTAGGTTATTTACACAGTGTTTTTGCTGCCTGTAAATAAAGATAAATGACACCCAGTGTCAAATAAATACTGCCATCACTGGTTAGGATGTATGTTAATAGTATTTGACTTCACCTAACTTCCACTTAATATAATTCAGCGCCTCTTCGCCGCCGGACTCTTGGCTCTTAAAATTCGGGAGGAAAAGAAGAAATAGACCTTGGCATTCTTCTCCATTTTTATATTTTTTCAATATACAAGTATATGATTCGAGACTGTTCTTTTTCATCAAAAATGTCAGTTTATACGACCGACTGTGGGAAGATGAACAAGGAAATAACACCATGTGCCTTGAAGAGAATTTTAAAAAATACGTGGAGAACTTACTTGAAAACCACAAAATGAATGAAACCTAGGTCCTCCCGACAAGTCTACTGCAGTTTGTAACATATTATTTTGATAAGTTATCATCTGTAAACAATAGCCCACTTAAGGATTTAAATTACTTAATCCGACGATCGGTAATGTCTTTCAATCCACTGTTGATGTGGTGAGTACTTAAACGCAAGTAATCTCACTTAGGTGAGCGTGGTGTGCACCGATGTACTCTGATTTCAGGGAACAGGTAGAACACTTTTTTAAACTCCTGAGAAGACGCTTTGATCACAAAATGTCCCTACAGCAAGCTCTCGGGTATAAATCTCGGCCAACCTTGTTTTGCACGGTGAAGGTAGGGATACGTGCCATCATAGACCACTTCAATTTGTGTTTTTTCTACTTCACGTGCTCCTGTGGAGCAGATTGTATAGGTGGTCCGAGGTAACGCCTACCAAAAAAATACGGGAACACCTCGGCATGACTGGGAAAAGGCGGGATTAGGGGCATAAGCAGCGTCATTATTAAATACATTGTTGATTCCGGGCATTTTGAGGACCCCAGCAAGGCATTTCAAGTGAAGAGCTACTGGGTCAGCGTCTGCTGCAAGAGCAGAGGTGACCGCCATCGGGGCGCAGAAGCCAGTTATGTGCGCGCAGAAGATACTTGTGCAAGCTCCGCGTCTACCATGGCCAAAGGTCGGTATACACTACTCTGCCGCCCCCCTTTCCAGAAGGCACAGCTTTTCCTAACCCTCAATGCCTCACTCCCTCACTGTCATTACGCCCCCCTTTCTTTCCCAAACCAAGTTTTCATGGGGAGACGAACTTTATTTGGCTCCTCTGTCACGTTTTATTTGTACCCCAACAAGAATTAATTGCAAACACACGTGTGCTCACCAACCAGGCTTCCTAACCCTTCCTTGGGAATTTTTACAACTTCTGTGTTTTAATCGTTGGTCTACAGCCCACACAAGCGGTCGCACGACCGTTAATAATCCGTGATCGGGACGTCGTGCCGACATGGTCAGGGACACCGGATTGGCTATTTCTGGCCTATTTACCGTCCCTAGTCGTTGATGCCCTAACCCCAGACTGCCTGTCCAGAGTTTAAACCCTATGCGGTATATCCTCGAGCAGTGTCCAAACTATCGCATTACGAACTCATGTCACGTTGGTTAAGATCGGAATACTCAGGAGTCAGGTAGAAATGGTGCGATCCGAACCGTCCTGATTGCCGGATGTAAGGGAGCATTTTAATGAGAAAAATTGAGCCGGTAGGTAATAGGTACAAGCAACAATTTTTGACTTTAGTGCAGACTTTTGGGGTACGGAACGATCACAGTCAGAAGCCGCAAAGTTTTCGGGACCTAGGAAACCAGAACCTCTGTGGTCTACGTTAAATGAAACGAAATATAATTGTTATTTATTTCAACCGATCTCATCCGTATTAGAACTTCAACACTGGCCTTTCCTTGCTGTCCTTTCTATAGAACTAGAAAGCTACAAATGCTCTGAATAGTCATTTTTGCCGATCAGCTGAAAGATTTACAATTTAGTGACTACTACTGTTCATTTATTTTTGTGTATGTGGGTTAAAGAAAAATTGCAGTGTTCGCATATACGCTATCTAATTGCAAGCCACACACGCTACTTGATGTGTCATAGCGTCTGTTGTGGGCTTGAAACACCATCTGTTGGAATCACGTCTTAATGGAGTTGGCGATATGCAAAATGAGCAAGTTAAGTGACAAATAATGAGCGATGAATGTGCATTAGAATTAATGGGACTTGCGCTGCAAAGTGCTGGCGGAGCCTCGAGCTTGTAGAAAGGACGTTTTAGATATGGCATTTCGACCGTCACGACCGACGACGTCCACAGTGTGCTCCACTACAGAGTGAGAGTAGAGATGGTGACTTCAGCGTGAATAAGTTTGCAGTGGTGGTAGAATAACGTAGCAACTATTGTGACATCCCTGATGTCAATTTCTATTCTTGTCTTTACTTTGCTACTAACCGTTTGCTAGTAACCAGACTTTACGCATGCCACCCTGTCTTTGTCTTTGTATCCCTATTCGTCGGTTCTTGTCATTCTTTGTTCATTGTTACCTGTCCACTGCCTATTGCTCTTTGTTGCCGCTCGCTTATAAACCGACCACCACACCTTGGCGTCATTCGCTGACTGCTCGTCTTATCACCTCGAATGTACGTCCACTTTTCAATTTATTCTCCACCTTATTAACTCTATTGTGCTCCGCTAATCTCACTGTTTATTGCTATAGAACCACAAAGAATAACCGAGTTATCCTGACTGTCTTCTGACATAACTTTGACCTCGGGTGTGTCTATTCTGGTGAATAAACTAGCACTGAATCTAAAGAACACCTACAAAAAGTTATTCGAGACATGTTCGAGCAAATCGCAGACAACAGCCCTCCGGATCTGTCGCTGCACTCACAGCCTGCTTCACCAATCGCCTTAGATCAAAGAGATTTAGAACGACAGCGACTTGAAATAGAGCTCAGCAAACTGCGTCTACTAGAAATCGAAAGACGCATTGAGTTGGGAAAACTACAGCTTATGAAAATGGAAAGTCGAGAATTGAATAAAGATGATGAGGTTTGTGCGATCGCTTAACAGATAGATGGTAATTCGGATGACAATGTCGAACCTTCAGTTCGCACCACAGAGCATCATCTAGAGCTGCCAAAACGTGAAATTCAGAAGTTCGACAGAAACCCTAAATTTTATTGTGCTTTTGTGAAGGAGTTCCATTCTGTAATTGAAAGAAAAACTAATGACAGCACCACATGCCTCACTTACCTGATACAGTACTGTGAAGGGAAAGCGAAGGAGGCTATACAATATTGTGCGATATTAGACGCCGACGAAGGTTTTAAAAGGGCCAAAGAAATTTTGAGAAAAAGATTCGGCCAGAATTATACGGTAGCCCGAGCCTTTATCGATGCATTAATCGACGGCCCTCAAATAAAAGGCAACGACACCGCAGCGTTGGTTCACCTCAGCCAACAAATGCAAACTTGTGTGGCAACCTTGAAACAACTCAACTATGCGTCCGATCTCAACTCCAGCAGAACTCTGGAGTCGATTGTGAGACGTCTACCCTCCCAATTAAGATTCAAATGGGCTGAAACCGCTGCAAATGCAATACGTCAGGGCGAAGAACCGCAATTCGAAGATCTCGTGGGCTTCATAGAAGAACGCGTTGATGTTGCCTGTACTCGGTTCGGAGAATTGGCGGTTAGTTTGAGAGATCATGAAGGTCAGCAGCAGTAGAACACACAGATTGTCAAACCATCTTCAAAGGAATGTGCTTGTTTCAAACAGCACGGAAATAAAGCGTAATGGGGCCCCTTTCCCGTTCTGTTGCACGGTCTGTGGAGAAGATCACTATCCCGATAAATGTCCAACATTTGTGGCCTCTGACAAGACGGAAAGGAGAAGGATTGTACAAGAGCGCAAACTGTGCCGCCGTTGTCTGAAAGCGAATCATATCGCTAAGAACTGCAGATCACCTCGCGGATGTACAGTCGAGGGCTGTGGAAAAGAACATCATACTCTACTACATCCCGACAACGAAGAGCTCAGTAGCCCGTCGAATGTTTTTAGTCATCAGGTAGTCAGAAACGAAGAAGAGGTTCCAAGGGTAGCCCTCGCAGTTGTTCCAGTGACCATCCGGTACGAACGACACACGGCACGAACTTTGGCACTTTTAGACAACGGCTCCGACTCAACGCTCATACATGAGAGTCTCGTGTCTGCTCTTGAAATGAAGGGCAAAGGCAAGGATATCGTCATATCAACGTTGAATAAGGAAACTGTGTTCCAGACCATGGAAGTAGAGTTCGACGTAGAAGCTAAAGGCACAAAAACTTCTATTCACGTCAAACGAGCTTACTCTGTCAAATCTCTACCACAAGTGAGTCGAATCATGCCAAATTATAAGGTAGCCTCACTCTGGCCTCACTTGAGTGCGATCGAATTCGAATCACGCGAAGACATGGGGATCGGGCTGTTATTAGGATGCGATGTACCGGAAGCACACTGGGTACAGGATCAATGGTTAGGTAAAGCAGACGAACCATACGCCATTCGAACGGCCTTGGGATGGATAATGATGGGACCTGTACATCTGACTCCCAGAGAGAAGAAACGGGTATACTGCTCGAACTTCGTTGAGTTCCAGAAGGACCTGGAGCTGTTCTATCAACAAGACTCCATTGACGAGGGACCAACCAAAGACAAAGATCTGTCTGTAAACGATCGTATCGCGTTGAAGACTATGGACCAAACCCTTTGTTTCCGCAATGGTCATTATATGTTAGCCCTACCTTGGAGAACTCACCCATCAGTCCTTCCGAATAACAAGCTATGCGCCTTACAGTGCCTCCGACTGCTCGGTAAACGGCTCGTAAAATCAGAGGAATTGTTGCAAATGTACACGAAAACTATGAATGACTACATTGAGTCTGGATATGCTGAAGAGGTTTCGGTCAAGGATGCAGCCTATTCTTGGTACCTTCCCCATCATCCCGTTTTCCACCCAGCCAAGCCAAATAAGATACGTGTGGTCTTTGACTGCGCAGCTAAATTCTACAGAACCTCCCTAAATGATCAACTACTCTCCGGACCTGATATGACCAATTCGCTAATCGGGGTACTTTTGAGATTCAGACAGGAGAAAGTCGCCAACATGGCCGATATTGAATCGATGTTCCATCAAGTTCGGGTGCCTGAGATAGACCGTGACGCTTTAAGATTTCTCTGGTGGACGAATGGTGACTTATCGCAACCACCGAAAGAATTCCGGATGACAGTACAT